GAGGCGGGGGGGGGGGGGGGCGCAGGTGCTCGGGCACCAAGCCATACGGTGCAACTAAATTTTAAAAAAAACAAACTCTTTTGTGATTACTTTTTATAAGCTGCCCTATTGAGATGGCGTGGGGGAAAGGGGACGAAACAAACCCGTGCAGTTAAAATCAATAAGACAGGTTCTGTTTTCAAACAGAATTTGTTTGCTTGACTGCTTAATTTTTTTTTCTAACTAAAAATTTTGAAAAAGATTTTTTTTTCGTTGCCGATTGCTTTTTAAAAAAAAACAATATTAAAGAAACATCACGTGATTTTTCCCGTTATAACGTACCAGGCTTCATGGACTCGCCATCAGACTTCTAATCAGTGGCGTAGCGAGGTCGGGTGTCACCCGGTGCGGCACTTAATGGTGTCACCCCCCCCCCCCCGAGGCGTAGCGACCCTTCCCGGGGACAAACTTTCAAGTTTTCGATTTGCACCCCCCCCCATCAAACTTTTGATTTGCACCCCCCCCCCCCTCAAGTCTTTCTCTATATATTTTGCTATTTTTTGCCTAAATGGTGTCACCCGGTGCGGTCCGCACCCCCGCCCCCTCCCCTCGCTATGCCCCTGCTTCTAATACAACAATACATCCAAATTTTACGGTCATTTTATTATCAGATATGCGTTTGGATAAAAATGAGCATGGATCGTGATGGATGCTTTCCAATTTGCAACGGACAAAGTAGGCCTATAGGGCCAACGGCCTGGTACCATGTTGCGGAAAAAAATAAAACTCCCAGTTTAAAAAAAAGTAATTTTAAAAAAAAAAACGTTCGAGCTTTATCATTACCGTTGTGTGGGGTGGGCTTTGTGCAATCCACTTGAAACAGCAACTGCGCTGCCCGCGAGAGAAATCGCATTCTGCAGAAGCTGCTACACCTTCAGTTGTATGTTGTAGCGAACGATGCCAACACACGTTTTATTGTTTAAAATTACTCTAAAACAACGTTTATCAAACAAACACAGTGTGAAGGGGGAAAAATAAAGTGATTCAGTGCAACACGTACAACTTACAGCGTAAAATTCTGTTTTAATTTCGTGTAAAAAAAAAAAGTACATAAGCCCCTGACTGCTGTTGGGTAAAGCCGGGTAAAGCTAGTCTCGTGAACGACACGCGCTTATGAGGTCCGGACGTACGAGAAGCAGATGCTGCAGATGAAGCCCTCCCGTGTACACAATACATCTTGTCATAACCCCAGGTATCTACACAATATTGGCGTACACTATGACGTAAAAACAACAACACAATTATAACACACTATACTGTGTTTAGGCTATACTTAAAACAATTCCCCGACAGTAAATTCTACAGTTGCAGAGATTTTCGTATAATACCATTCTTTTAATGTGATTTTTAAATACTTTACAGTAATAAAGACACCCAGTGCAGGTAGGATCGATATTTTATATTGGAAACTTCTTCAACATACGAGATTTTGTTTGAATCGAATGTAACAGATGTTATGATTGGCTGGGGTTCGATAGTTACATTAACGATCTTCCCTTAACAAGCTGTTGAAATCGTTAGAGTTTGGCATTGAAGGGAGGCAATGTGTCAAATAAATGGATGTAAAAAGGTGAGGCTGAGATTTTAATGACGGAGCTAAAGAAGGCTGCAGTTTAACTGTAGGCCTACAACCAACAAACACGTTTAGAAAAAAATATCAAAGGATAATATACATCATAATTTACATAATGCAAGGACTGGGGCTACTAGAGAAACAAACATTAACATTAATGTACTTTTCGCTTATTATACGGCACTATTCAGTCATAAGCAGTGCCCTATTGCACTTTATAACGCGTTGTTTTGTTAAAGTACCGTACTAGTACTAAACCTGCACGAAACACCAAATTAAAATTCATTAGCTGGAGAAGATACCAAGTTCAAAGTTTGCCACAATATCCTATAGACTAGACCTACATATTATATTACACAAAAAAATGACAAAGCTCTGTATAACTTTCTATAGACCAGCACACCTCATTTTAATTATTATACAGCGTTTTTACGAACCACCTCCGCCAAGGTAATAATTTAAAAAAAAAATCAATGCGGGAGTCATATAACATTGGTTTATATCGATTCTACCACATAGGCTTATAACAAATTGATAAACCACCCCTACACCCTATTTGTTTAATAATATTGCACAATTCCTAAGGATCATTGGTAAAGTATTGAAACAATATACTTGAAACAAGCTACAGTAAACCTCTTGACCTGGAGACACACTGGCTTAAAAAAAGTAACAAAATGGACGACTAACTAAAAAACTGGGGAATGGATTGGTAGACCTATTTATGAATAAATGATCAGCCCTTATATTACTTATATATTTAAGCATTACGGCAATATAGAGATGCTATAATTAATATTCTTTTTAATAAAGCTATATGGAACCAGGCAAAATTTAAACATTTAATTTAATATTGGCCTTTTCTATTTATAGGAAAACTAAACGAAGGACAGTTATTTCGTTTTTCTCTGTTCAGCCTACCACAGGATAATCTACATCTAAATTAAATAGCATAGACATTTCCGTACAAGCCCGCTGAGGACTACACAAATATAACAATTCACAAATATAATATTAAATATAGCATCCAGTTTCCGATTCTCTCACAAGCAGCGGTCAAAGTTCACCCAGCCGGCTACCGGCTAGTCTATAAATATTACGTCAAGTCAATACCTCGGCCCTTCATGCGGAGCAGATGCGCCAGGAAACAAGACATCGGGAGGGATCAGCACACAGTCTTCAACCTAACACCATAACATCATCCTCGAGAAATTATGCAACAAATACTAACACACCACGTCTAGTGTGAGCACACGGTGACGTGCCGGACATAGGCTCTAAGACGGGTGTCGCTGATTCATTGATTGAAAAAAAAAAGGCACGGCCTATCCCCGGGGAGAAAGTTTTGTTTTTCGGCAAACTGGACGACGTCATAGTTGGCTAACACCAAACAAAGCCCCATACATTAGAATAGATTATGTGGACAGACAAGAAAAACGGGCACATCAGCGGTGCTAGATTACCCATAAGTCAATTTTAATTATTTTCAACCTGAGTCTACGAGTAGTCTGCCATTGACATTATTGACATGGTTGTTTGGTTTTGTTTGAATATGAAATTCTATGAGGAGAAAGCCACTAGCCATACTTTTTAAAAAGTATTTATAATTATAATAAGCATGATTATGTAAAAGAAATGTAAACAAGAAATTCAACTTTACAATCAATTATAATATATAATAATATATTGCATAGACTGGTGCTAATGTAAATGTAGTCAAGAATAGTCAAGATATATTTTATTGGACAGCATTTTAATTTTAAGTATCCTTTAACTGCACAAGACTAGTGTCTCAGGGGCCTACCGAGTACGGGTACACCTTGCCGTCTAACGGCATCTTAATACCCGCATTGTTTACAGGGAGAAAACGGATCAATAGTTGATAGAGTGATCTGTTACATCAAGGATGAGCCGCCTGCGACCCATCGATGTAGCCCTCGCTTCCATTCTCGGGAGTCTGATGGGAAAAAACCCACCACGCCTCTACAAGATGGTGGACTAGCCGCGCGTTCCCTGCACGCAACACACGACTGAACTCTCGACACCAAAGGGTTTATTTCGGTTTATATTGCCACATTGGAAAATGTTAAGCAAAGGCAACTTGCATTTTATATCAGGCATGTGGTAGGTTATACGGTAGCCAAGGGCGGTAATGTTTATATTCCCCGTCTCACAAATTTGATTAAATTAGCCACACGTGTAAGTTTAAAGATTGTACCGGTTAACATCAAACGGGTTCACTTTTGAATATTTGATTAAAAAATCCTTGTTTTAAAAAAAAGTATACTGATTAAATTTTAGTCATTTAATATCTTAGCAGAGATTGATTAAATTAAAATGTGTGAAATCTCTCCCCATGTATAAAATCCAGTGGCGTAGCCAGGATCGTCTCAAGGGGGGGGGGGGGGTCCAATTATTACCCGGGGACAAACTTTCGATTTGCACCCCCCCTCATACTTTTTATATATATACCGAGGGGGTCTATGGGGGGGGGTTATGACCCCCCTAACCCCCTGCCTACGCCACTGATAAAATCTACAGCTATGGTCAAGGGTGACAAAAATTGAATACAGTTAATGATCGTTTGCTCAACCAGGAGTAGCATAACCGGTACCATTTGGCGGAGGGGGGGGGGGGGGGGGGGGGGGGAAATAGAGATAATTCCCACATATATGCTTTCAAGAAAATAAATATCTGATTTTATCACAATTAAAATAAAACTTTACAATTGAACAGGTACTCTGTCACCAAAAGGTGAAACTTGACCAGAGACACCTTTTGTCCTGGTTACCACCTAAGAGACTTCACACATAAAAATACAGGGGTGTACTGGCTGTGTACACTGTGAAACTTAAAGTTCCCCCAACCCCAGACTGATATGTTTATTGTGTAAAGTCTGAATTGTACACTTTGACATGAAGAAATGGAAATGGTTAAATGGGAGAGATACCAATTATTACAGCATCACATCTGGGGGTCCAACGAGAATTTTCTTCCAGGTAGATGAGTCCACCCTTGTATATATCAGATTAAATTCTGATCATATTTCAATTATTGACTGCATACTTGTGTTCATATCTCACCAGAGAACTGTTCAAAGCCATGCAAGTAAATTTACTTGCAGCAGCACATGTGAAAAATCAACTGTTCAATTACTCTCTGTAAAAATGGTTTTTACATCATGTACCAAGATCAGCTAGTCAATTATCAGTGCAGTGATAAAAATAATAAGGAAAAGGGGAAAAACACCTAACCCACAACATAGGACTTGTATCATGTTTAATAGACTTAAGTATAAGCTAAGTTTTTTGTGTGTATAGTTTTCATACCACTATATGTTGTTACTCATTACATACGTTACATAATAAATTAATTTTAAAAAGTTGAATGAAGTATGAATATTTTAATTTGAATACACAAACAGAATTGACAAATAAAATAGATTTCAATGAATAAACCTGCTCTGTAACTTATAAAGGTAGATAACTTGTCTTTATCTGTAACTTTTACATTAGATTTACCTCCCTCTAAAGTGAACTTATGATTGATTGTTTGACAGATTTATACAAAAACACAAAATAAAATTGCTAGTAATGTAATGTATATAATATCAGATGAGATAATTTATGTAGAAAAAATAAGGCAAAAATTACAAAGATATTTATCCACAGATTCCCTCAGCCAGATGTAGGACAACATCAAAATTAATGCCAAAAAGCATAAAATTTCTGATAAGCAAATTTCTTTCTAAATTGTTTGTACCATGAAACTAAGCAAATGTGTTAGTAGCGAATATATAAAATAATAGTAATCTACTTTTTTGAAAAGATAATTTTTAATAATATAAATGCAATAAAATAAGCTGCACAATAATCATCATACACCATTCCCTGCTTGTTAATAATATAGGCTATCAAAATTACCACATAAGTTAAAAAAAAATATCACTTGTTAAAATTTAATTAAAAGTATTCAAGTGCATCATCTTTAGTCTTGTTTTCCTGATAGCTGTGAACTTTTGGACCCTCGTTTGTGTGTGGCAGAGGACGGAAAATTCTTACATGGACATATTCACCATCATTAACAAGGATCTGCAAGGATAAGGCAGAATTGAATTAAGAGATCTATTTACGTACATTTAAAAAATAAATATGATCTACATTTTTTCAGATTAGTTAAAACTAAAAAGTAGTTACACTTAAATCAATAATTAGCAGGTAAAAAGTAAGGGGTAAAAGAAAAACAAACTATTCTGATCTTTAAATTTGGGAATTATTTATTAAATATATATATTAATTTTTAATCAGACAGCACATTAAGTTGTTTGTTACATAACTCATTATAACAGAAGTTAACAAGTAAACTCATCAGCTAGTAAGAGCACATTATTAGCAGATTTATAATGTACCAACAGGTTACAAATAAGTACACAAGATACTCGCCTTGACAAAAAAGTTGGTTCCAGCAACTACTTGTGATTTAAAAGACACGGCTTTAAAATCTGGGTAGGTTTTCTCCACTTTCTTCTCTAACTCACCCCGGATCTAGAACAGATAATACAAGACTTATTAATTCATTATAAAGCTTAGAAATATGAAATATGCAGTTCGGAAGTTTTTATGCAATATGGCTAACTACAAACATAATTTTTTAAATACATTATATATGGACATTTATTGTAGACCGACTATCACAAATACTTAAAGCATCAGCCTTATCTGTGTGTATTGAATGTGTTCTACTGAATGACCGTAATACTCTATCCTATTTATGATAGTGTAAAACAGAAGAATGAAATGTTTCTATAATAAAAAAATCTAGCAGTTAACATATCTTTTATACTAATGCCAATGCACTTTCTTACTACTAACAAATAATAATATAATAACAGGACAATGCTTGCTAACAACAGTTTTATTATCAGAAAACTAAAATATTTATAAATGACTATACATCTTAATACTTAAAATAAAGATACATAACCTATGCCCTTTACTACATAGTATTGTCTCCCCCATGCCCACTAGCCCTAATCAGAGCACCAAAAAGAAACCATCTTAAAGATTACATAGATATATTAGAACATTTTTAATTGTTTATCTATACACTAATATAATCATAAGTATATTAAGAATGACACTGTGTCAGAGATAGATTGCTTACTGTTTCAAACTATGCATTTAAAAGTATTATGAAACAAAATTAATTTATTATAATTGCAATTATAATTGAATTAAAACCACTAGACCAGGGGTCGGCAACCTTTTGAGGCGGAAGAGCCAAAAGTTAAAATTTACAAACTTTACCAGTGTTTAAAGAGCCACTATATATATATATATATATACTAGCGTAACCGACCCACGCGCGTTGCCGCGGGGATAGAAGAAATAATTTTAAAAATTTACTAATTAATTATTTAAAAAAAAAACAACCTAACACAACAGCTAACTGATTTTTTAAGAAGCATGAAGAAATAATGTAACTACGAGTAACCTAACGCCCTCTTTTAAAGAAGATTCTATTATTGAAAAATAGTATAACAAAAACAAAAATTTTAAAATGTCAATCCAAAGATAATGGACTCAATGACTTGACAAGAATCATTCCATCATATTGTCATTGTTGGCATGGATAAAAATCATGCTTTTTTAGATTTAGTCATCAAAGCAACCATAAAATAATATTTAAAAAAAAAGAATTAAGCCTGAAAATAATTAAAAAATCAATTATTTTTAGAATCAGTGTAATAAAAGTTGCAAATCCAGAGAACTTGAAAACTACTTTTTGACTTAAAGTTTAAAGGCTACATTTCTATTTATTGTATTTATATTTTCATCGAGACTACACTACCAGTAACCTAATACTCCTTTTTAAAGAAGAATTTCTAGATTTAGATTACTAGAAATCTTTTCTATTAGAGATCTAGATCTAGAATCTAGATCTAGATCTAGTATTATTTTATGGACAAATTGTATAAAAATCCCCCTGTAAGTCCATTTTTGCTAAATTTAATTTTTTTAGATCTACTAGATCTAGATCTAGCTAGATCTATTCTATAGGCAATAGGCCTAATAAAAATAAAAAATGGTGGGTATTTTAGGTTTTCCTGCATATATTCTAATTTTATCTAGATTTCTAGATCTAGATCTGTACTTTCTCTGGTAATGAAATGGAAGGAGAGAAAGCCTGAGAGAAGAAAGCCATCAAACCCAGCCTCCTGAAAACTGAAGTTGGGCGTAGGCGGCCAAATAAGGAAGCCCAAGGCAAAGCTATGCCATCATCATTTTCCGAAAATTTAATTTAGAACATAAAATGTTCTTTACTTTACTTTGATCTTAAAAGTTTATGTGAACCATTTACCTCTTTAACCAACTCATGGATTTCTTCATTGGCTTCCTTAACGTCGCTTGTTCCGCCGCACATCATTTTCACGGTTTAGCTTCTTACTAGATTACTAGGCCTAACGCTAAGATTTAATATTATACTCGCTGTGTTACAATGAAGTGTACCAAAAAATAGAAGCACAAACATTATCACGTGATCAACATAGTCACGTGATTAAGTCATATGCTCATGAATAAGACAAAGGGAAATAAACACGTTAAATGCCCAAACAGATTATTCATCAGCAGTTACTGCCCATGGAAAAAAAACCTTATAAAGGGGATTAATGCCGTTAAGTTAAAAAGATAAAGCATTAAACCTTAGTTAATTCCCTTTGACCAAGTTTGACAGAGTCGTAGGCCTACTTTTAAAATAGAAAGAAAAAAAAACTTATAAAAAATAACATAGCAATAACAGTAACGTTTTGTATCTATTTTAAATGCTTGCAGAGTTTCTTCCAGGCATCTTCAGAGTCTACCGCCACCCCCCAGAACGAAATGGAATTTATATAGAAAATATATACTTTTAACAGCGTCCGCCCCCCCCCCCCCCCCCCCACGAAAATTTCGCGTGCCGCCCCGAAGAAAAAAAATCTGGAAGAAACACTGAATGTTTGTGATGTATGGATTAGATCTACTCCATGGTCGGCTCTTAAAATAAATATCTTGGCAGATTGGAACTACCCGTAATTGGTTAAAGAGCCCCCCCCCCCCCCCCCAGTCGATCAGTCTGCGGGCAGAAACGTCAAAGGTTTAAGGTTAGTACTTAACTTTGTTTGCAGAAAGAATGAGAGCAGTCGTATTATCATTGTTGCTTTCAGACTTTTTTTCTACGGGGAACAACTGAACTTTAGTAAGGGGAGGGGGGGGGGGCGAACTAAATATTCCGTGGGGGGGGGGGGGGGGGGGAGGGGGTAACATTGGTAAAAGTATATATTTTCTATATAAATTCTCTTTCGTTCAGATGGGTGGGGAGGGGAGAAGAGATGCCTGAAAGAAACACTGCATAATATTATACCGTTTAAATAGAATACTTGCTGATACTTATTGAAGACCGTCCCGTATGTGATGCATACTTTAAAGCTCTAAATTGCACACGTTCGGTTTAGTTGGCAACAATAGTCCTAAAAAGGCAATAGCCAGGCCAGCAACGGTTTTATACGACCTTGCAGTGGCGTCGATAGGTCGGGTGTCACCCGGTGCGGCACTTCGTAGTGTCACCCCCCCCCCCCCCCCCCCCACCAGTGGCGTAGCCAAGATCGTCTCAAGGGGGGGGGGTTCCAATTTTTACCCGGGGACAAACTTTCGATTTGCACCCCCCCCCCCTCAAACTTTCGATCTGCACCCCCCCCCCCCCTCAAACTTTCGATTTGCACCCCCTCATACTTTTTATATATATACCTAGGGGTCTATGGGGGGGGGGGTTATGGACCCCCCCCCTAACCCCCCCCCTGCCTACGCCACTGCCCCCCACCCCCCAGAAACCTATATACTAAATGGTGTCAAGGATGAACAACACAATGCTTTTCTTAAACAAACCAGAGAAGTTATAACAGCTCTTGTCTAAACAAAATATAAGCTAGGAATTTAACAGAATTTCAATACAAGTTTTGAAAAAAATGTATTTAGACAAGGCTTGGTATTTGTGAGGGTTTGTGAAGAGATCGAGGCTAAAATGGCTAAATTGCCATCGCTTTTATCCTATTGTATTAAAAAGTAAAATGTGCTTTTAAAAAGTGGTTGAGTTGGTAGAACTCGTTGCTTCTAAACTGAAAAGTCTCGAGTTCGAATCCTCAGGTAGATGAGCCTGAATAGCTGGCTGACAGCCACTCTTCTTGGAAAGACAACTACAAAATCAAACAACTGCTGCATTCATTGTAGTTTTTTATTTATTTTCTTTTTTTTTACAAAGGCTTTTACTTTTTACAAAGGCTATGGAAGCAAATCCAAAAAGAAAAGCAGGGTGAAATCGGAGTCAACTGGCGCATAACATGGTGACACGTATACCTAATTGTGTTGGAGGGGAATCCCTTCAACACTAGAATTAAGAACGAAGAAGAAGAACATTGTACAGAGTTCTGAAATTGACTTAAGTACCAACTCATGTTGTATACAACAATGATACAACAAAATAGAAATGATACGAACATATATAATAACAGTCTACATTCCCAAAGAGTCTAGTAACAATCTCCATTCCCAGGAGTCTAGGAAAAATCTCCATTCCCAGGAGTCTAGGAAAAATCTCCATTCCCAGGAGTCTAAGAACAATCTACACTACCCGGAGTCTAAGAACAATCTACACTACCCGGAGTCTAAGAACAATCTACACTACCCGGAGTCTAAGAACTATCTTCATTCCCAGGAGTCTAAGAACAATCTTCGTTCCCAGGAGTTTAAGAACAAATCCCAGGAGTCTAAGAACAAATCCCAGGAGTCTAGGAACAATTTACAAATAACTTATCTACCTTCTCCATTGTTCCAGAGCTAATCACTGTACAAAAGTCACTGTATATTCCCAACTTATTTACCAGACGCACTGACGCGCACCACAAATGAACACACAGTACCACGGCACCAATAAACGCAAGCACCACAGTGGAACCGTTCAACATGCATGAGCTCAATGGCTTCAATCAACACAAACTCCGTTTTAAAAATCAGACACATCTCCTGATATAAATTGCCGAATCTAAAAAAATCTACCACCAACCCTTACTGCATGAACAAACAGACGCTGCACATCGCAGAGGCAGCGACCCCAAGCTCGGCCCCCTCGCAACATCCGGTTTCTTGTTTCACATTGAGAATTCTAAAGACGATGCTTCAGCTCCCGGAGGATGGTCCAGAGCTTAATGATACGGAGATCAAGGTCGATGAGGTGACCCAAGCCCACGCAAGGCAGATGATTAAAACTGGCTGATATCTACATAATGAAAGCTGCACCAATTTGCACCAATCAGTCGAGGCGCAGCTTAGAAATACTAAACACGAGACGAGTTCTGCTTGTATGGTTTTTCTGGGGGCACTCGTGGGGTTGTTTTTTTTAGTATTGGGGATGTTGATGACCCGTGGTGATTTGTAACTATAATGTTAATCATAAGATGATGAGTGACTTTCTTCAACAACTTCTAGTTTTGAATTCAACCACTCCATTGCTCAAACGCCCCATACAACGCCTCAACTTTAGCTTTCCTTCTCTTTTCAGCCCTCTACCTCTCTGCTTTTACATCACCTCTTCCTCCCCCCCCCCATACACCCCAGTTACAAACAACATAACTTCCCCATATGTCATCTGATTGACCTCCACCCCTTCACCATATCTCCACCTATTCCTTACACCTCCTGCACGTACAAACTTTCCCCACACCAACTTTCCCCACACCAACCATTCCACACACCAACTTTCCCACACCAACTCTCCCCACACCAACTTTCCCACACCAAACTTCCCCACACCAACTTTCCCCACACCAAACTTCCCCACACCAACTTTCCCCACACCAACTTTCCCCACAACAACTTTCCCCACACCAACTTTCCCCACACCAACTTTCCCCACAACAACTTTCCCCACACCAACTTTTCCGACACCAACCGTCCCCACACCAACTTTTCCCACACCAAGTTTCCCCACACTAACTCCCCCCCACATCAACGTTCCCCACACCAACTTTCCCTACACCAACTTTCCCCACACCAACCTTGCCACACCAACTTTCCCCACATCAACCTCCCCCCCCCACACACAAATCTTCCCTCACATCTAACCCTTTACCTCATTACAATTACCTTCGTGGTCTAGCGGTAGAGCACAACCTATCCTTTAATTCGTCCTAGTTTCTTGACCGTATGACGTTAGTGAGTTTACCCAGCACTAACGAGTACCCAGCCCAACTTTGCAACTTGTGGGCGTTTTTTCAGGTCACAAAATTATTTTTTGCGTCAAGATCTTCCCGATCTATCGTAACAGCTCTAAAAGAATGGCTTGCGCCTAAGCAACATTTAAACAAGGTATGTGCACTGTCAGTTGATAGAGAAATTCATTGGCCTTTGATTGGGAGAACGAGGCTACGCTCTAGATAGACACGATTTATTTATGTCGTAAACAACTGGAGATAAAAGTAACCGGTAAACATCAAACAGGGGAGGGAATAACAGAATTAATTTGAAAAAAGAAAATTAAAAACAAAAAAATCGGAAAATAAATATAGCCAACTTTTAAACTGTAGAAATTGAAACATCTATACTGTAAGGCTTTCATTCTATTTTTCTGCATCCACAATTTGATTCTCCGGGTCTATTTTCTATTTCACACATTTGAGGCACTAAGTCTATCCACACCTCTATGTCTATTCTATACTGCTTGTGATTGCGTTTATTTATAGACCAATTAAGGCTACGTCAGTAATTTATCCTAATATATATAGTCAGTAACTCTATCCTACTATATGAGTCAGTAAATCTATCCTACTATATGAGTCAGTTAATTTATCCTACTATATGAGTCAGTAAATATATCCTACTATATGAGTCAGTAAATCTATCCTACTATATGAGTCAGTTAATTTATCCTACTATATGAGTCAGTAAATCTATCCTACTATATGAGTCAGTTAATTTATCCTACTATATAAGTCAGTAAATCTATCCTACTATATGAGTCAGTAAATCTATCCTACTATATGAGTCAGTAAATCTATCCTACTATATGAGTCAGTTAATTTATCCTACTATATGAGTCAGTAAATCTATCCTACTATATGAGTCAGTAAATCTATCCTACTATATGAGTCAGTAAATCTATCCTACTATATGAGTCAGTAAATCTATCCTACTATATGAGTCAGTAAATCTATCCTAGAGTCAGTAAATCTATCCTACTATATGAGTCAGTAAATCTATCCTACTATATGAGTCAGTAAATCTATCCTACTATATGAGTCAGTAAATCTATCCTACTATATGAGTCAGTAAATCTATCCTAGAGTCAGTAAATCTATCCTACTATATGAGTCAGTAAATCTACCCTACTATATGAGTCAGTAAATCTATCCTACTATATGAGTCAGTAAATCTATCCTACTATATGAGTCAGTAAATCTTTCCTACTATATGAGTCAGTAAATCTATCCTACTATATGAGTCAGTAAAT